TTTTCTTCTTAAATTGGTTTCTTTATTATTGAGAATATTTCGTATGGAAATTATAGAAATGAACTTGATACACTTTATTTAATAATATTTAATAACACTTTATTTAATAATTGGATTTCACTCAATGAGTGGCAGAGTCAACTGGTACAGTAGAATTGTCGCGAGTCGCGAATCAACTGGCTAAAAAATTGAGACGCTGTTTTATATATTGGCTAACTGACTTACATTTAGTTGTCGAGTAATCAAGTTGATGTTTCAATTTCTCAATTGAGTTTTCTGCTGAATTTGATTTATTAATTTTTGCGTTTCGTAAAATAAAAAAAAGTAGGTGAAATACATTTTGTGCTTATTTTGCTACTTTCAATTCGCATGATTGCCGTTGATCTCAAAATGATTTAATTTTACGTCTCAGGACGTAACAACACAAATATGTCCTTACATCCAAGAGAAACTTATCCTTATCCACATCCACATGGACTTCCAATGCTGAATTTAGACTATTATCAAAGTTCCCTTGTTGCTTTAGTTTGTAATATATTTGTTGTAAATTGTTGCAATGTATTTTTTGGTTCATTGTATTCCTGTATCTAGAATGGATGGCCTTTTATCCATTTTTTTATTTTGTCCTTTATTGTTTTTGTATTGCTATTTAAAGTTTTGAGGTGAGAAGATAGTTGATTGAAGGTGGCTAAAGCTCTTGTATAGCTATCTTTAATGCTGATTGTTAATTTTCTTTTAAGGGGCTGTATATTTTTTTTTTCTTGTTACGGAATTTTTCTTCAGGAACATATCTTGCAGGTTGACATAGTGATACACTAGAGATTTCATGGTGAATGTTTGATCTATGTTTAGTGGATTTTTTTCATTTATAAACTTGTTTTTATTTAGAATTGTTTTCATTTATAAATTTGTTTTTGTAGAGTTTGTATATATTTGAGTCTTCCAATGTATGCTCCACTCCATGCTATAATACCGTATGTTGTTATGCTATGGAAAAGTGCATAGTAAATCATACGTAGATTATCTGTGCTCATTATCCTAGATAATTTGTAGAAAATATAAGTTAGATATTGTAGTCTATTGTATAGCATGTTTGTATGCATGTCCCATCTCATATGGCTATCGAAATGCACTCCAAGGTACTTAGTGTTATCAACTTTTCGAATGGGTGCACCCTTTATATTTATATGTAGATATATTTAGTTGCTATTGCAGTTATTTCCAAATGCCAAGTATACTGTTTTGTCAATGTTTAGTGACAGTTTATTCAATGCTAGCCAAATGGATATTTTGTTTAAGTAGAAGTTCATATTACTTTCGACTTCATACCATTCGCTTTTCACGATAATTACCGTGTCATCAGCAAAAGCCAACACATTATCATTTGGAAGAAATTGTAACATATCATTTATATAGATTATGAAAAATAAAGGTCCCAATATTGTACCTTGTGGTACGCCAATGTTGACTTGTTGATATTGACTATACGAGGTGTGATCAAAAAGTAAGGTGAATTTTGAAATTTAGCGGGCTACGTCCGTTCGATCTTCGACTTTTTTATTTGGTTATGTCGGTACACTCGTCTAGAACATACGTTCCAAATTTCAGCTTTGTAGTATGTTTGGTTTGTTTGTGAGAGGCATCAAGGTTAGAAGTGTTTTGCGTGCTCCGCGATTTGCTGCTGTCTAAAAACATGGATCAAAGAGTTTGCATTAAATTTTGTGTAAAAAATGGAATCAAATGTTCCAAAACACTTGAAATGCTGAAAGTGGCATACGGTGAGTCTACTTTAAGCCAAAAAAATGTTTACAAGTGGTATAAACTCTTCCAAGAAGGCCGAGAAGACACCGACGACGAACCTCGTTCTGGATGCCCCAGCACATCAACAACTGATGAGAATGTTGAAGAAGTGAAGAAAATAGTCTTGGGAAATCGTCGAATTACCATTAGAGAAATTGCTGATGATATTGGCATCTTATTTGGTTCGTGCCAATCAATTTTGACGAGGGTTTTAGACATGAGACGTGTGTCAGCGAAGTTTGTTCCGAAATTGCTCAATTTCGACCAAAAGAAACGTCGCATGAGCATCGCCCAAGAGCTGCTGAATGACGTCAACGATGATCCAGATTTACTCATCAGGGTTATAACAGGTTATAACATGGGTATACGGTTATGACGTCGAGACTAAGGCTCAATCGTCCCAGTGGAGGCATTCTGGATCACCAAGACCAAAAAAAGCACGCCAAGTTCGATCAAATGTAAAGGTTTTGCTTACAGTTTTCTTTGACTGCAGGGGCATGGTGCATCATGAGTTCTTACCACAGGGTAGAACAGTAAATAAGGAATATTACCTGCAAGTTATGCGCAATTTGCGGGAAGCAATCCGCCAGAAACGTCCGAATTTGTGGAAAAATAAAAATTGGCTTTTGCACCATGTTAATGCCTCTGCTCACACATCGTTGCTTGTGCGCGAATTTTTGGCTAAAACCAACACAGTAACGATGCCACAGGCACCGTATTCCCCAGATCTGGCCCCCTGTGACTTCTTCTTGTTCCCAAAACTGAAGAGGCCCATGGAAGGACGGCGTTTTGCCACGATTGAGGAGATAAAGACGGCATCGAAGGATGAACTAAACAAGATCACAAAAAATGATTTTTTGAAATGCTTTGAGGATTGGAAAAAGCGTTGGCACAAGTGCATTATATCCGAGGGGGATTACTTTGATAATAAATATTTTTTGAGAAAAATAAAAATTCACCTTACTTTTTGATCACACCTCGTATTCACCATTAATTTTAACTCTTTGTTTCCTATTACTTAGATAGCTTTTGATAAGTTCATACGCACTTCCTCTAATTTCATATCTATAGAGTTTTTTGAGTAGAATTTTGTGGTCCACAGTGTCCAAAGCTTTCGCTAGATCCAAGAAAGTTGCTGCTATTGATTTACTTTTGTCTAGTTGATTGTATATTGAGTTAGTTAGGTAGTATAGGGCATTTTTGGTGCTAAGACCTTTTCTAAAACCAAATTGTTTATTAGAAAATAAATTATGTTTGTTGAAAAAACTTGTAATCCTGATTTGTATTAATTTTTCAAAAATTTTGACGATATTTGATATTAAAGATATAGGTCTATAGTTTGTTGGTAGATACTTCTCTTTAGTTTTGTGGATAGGAATAATTTCAGCACTTTTTAATTCGTCAGGCCATATTTCTTTTTGTAAGCATAAATTAAAGATATAGGTCAACGGATCACTTATGTGGTTTATTATCATCTTTAGTATCTGAGTGTTGATGCCGTCAGATCCTCCATTTTTGTTGCCCATTTTTCTTATTGTTTGTTGAACTTCTATTCTATTTGTTAAATGTAGAAAAATACTGTTGTTGTTCATAGATGGTAGAGTAATGTTACTATTTATTGTTTGTCTAATATTATCACATATCTGTTTGCCTACTGTACTGAAAAATGTATTCATTTGTTCTGCAATGTCGTTTGAGTTTGTAATTTTATTATTACCTATTAATAGATGATTAATGTTATTGATTTTTTTGGTTTTCTTCCCAATTTTGTTGTTGATTATTTTCCATAGTTTTCGTGGTTGTATTGATTTGTTTTGATTTGATTTTTTTCATATTTTTCTTTAGCTAGATCTATGGTCTTTTTTAATGTTTCTACATAGTTTTTATATTTTTCTTTTTTTATTGCATTATTGGGATCTTTTTTCCAATTATTATAAAGTTTTTTTTTGTGTGTACATGATATCATTACTGCTTTAGTTATCCAATTACTCCTTGGGTTCATTTTATTCTTATTGTGTTTATTGTTATTAGATGATGCCGTAATACATGTTTGAATTTTTTCTATTAATTTGTTCGTAGCTAGATTAGGGTCTTTTATAATTTGTATGTTAGTCCAAACAGTTCTTTTGGCTTTATTTTTTAGTTTAAAATAGTTTATTATTTTGAAATTGGTTTTTTGTGTACATTTATAATTATTCCTTAAACTCATCATTATTGGGTAGTGATCATTGAAGGGTACGTTGAGGACGTAAGTTTTATATTTGACTTTTTCTAGCCTAACATAGATATTATCTATACATGTACCTTTGTTAATATCAATATTGGATGGTCTTGTTATGGTATGTAGTCCAGGGCAATATCCATTTTCTAGCAGTACTTGTAAAAAATCTTGATCTAGTATTTCTTCACTCAATATATCAAAATTAAAGTCTCCCATTAAAATATTGTTTTTATATTTTTTGTTTATTTTCAATAATTCTTTGAGATTCAATAGGAATTCAGATTTAGATAAATCATGAGATCTGTAAATTGCAGACAGCACCAAATTTTTGTTGTTTTCTAGTGTAATATTAGAGTTAATTATTTTTAATTTATCTATTTCAAGAATTTCTGTAATTTCAGTGATTTCTTCTTTCATATACAAAACAACTCCATCTGATTTGTTTATTTTACTTTCATTGTAATATATTTTATAGTCTGGAATATTGAACATTTCATGATTGTCTAAATTCCATGTTTCTGTGCATACTATTATATATGGTTTTTTTCGAGGTTCTTCAGAAATACTCCCTATAGAAAAAAATAACGTTATAAATAACGTTATTAAATGACATCATTTATAACGTTATCTATAACGTTATTTGGTGTTACGATTTGGAACATTTAATAATGTTATTTTTTTATCTAATAACGTCATTTCTATTAAAAAAATAACGTCATTTTTTGAATTAATAACGTAATTTACAGAAAATGACGTTAATTTTAAAAAGGTTGTGTGCTTTACGAATGGAGTAACGTTATTTTGCCGGACAATAACTTTATTTAAAGAAAATGACGTTATTTAAAAAAAAATAATTTGTGCTTTATTTTTATACTTATTTTTATACTTATAATAAATACAGTATCTTTAATATCGTTACATAATAAATAAAAATAAAATGATTTTTAGAACTTCAATAAATGCAGTTATGAAATGATAACAAAAATTATAAAAGGATTTCTTCATCAAACGATTAGAATGAGTTTTGAATTTCAAATTCATCTTCGGCTCGATCTTTATGGTTTTCATCTTCATCTTTATCTTCTTCATTTTCTTCTTCATCTTCTTCATTTTCCTCTTCATCTTCTTCATTTTCTTCTGAAGTTGTTCTATACCTCTCATGACGTACTTCCTCACAGGAAGAAAAATATTTGATTCGTTCTTGAGCAATTAGAATCCCCAGATATCTTCCAAATTTCTGAATAATCCGATTCTTTTCTTTTACGCTTGCGCTTTGAGAGATCATTTTGCGTTCGAATAAATATTGGGCATATCCCCCTGTAAATAAATACAAAATAAAGTAACAAATGGCTTGAAGGTACAATGAAAATAATATACATTACTTTTAAGAGCCTCGAATTTCTTGGGTTCAATAGCAACTCTGTTTTCAGTGTCTGCGGTTCGATTTACTTGCACCGCTAACTCAATAAACTCATGAGGTTTCCATACATGAAAAATAAGTTCTCTTAGAAACTTGTAGACTGTTGCCCGTTTGGCTTTTTTCCAAGCTTTATAAGGTACAGACACTCCGAAGTGGAGATGAAACATGGTTTTCTGAAAAATTAAAGAATTATAAGATTTATTGTCAAACAGTACAATAATAATATAAATATTTACCTTTTCATCATCATTTATGTCTTGTTCCCAGGTACTCAACTTTGGCCTCTTTATTTCGCAGTCTGACTCAGCGTAATCATCAGAATTATACAACACTGCTTTTAGCTTTCTGACATATTTCTTTTCTTTCTTCTTCTTATTCAGTTTGATCTTTTTTTTCAAAAATTTATCCTCGACAGCAGTTCGTTTCAACGGGAGTCTCTTAGCAGGCATGTAGCTGGTCGACGGTCTACTTTCTGCATCTGCACTGGTACTTGCATGATAACTACGAAAATTTTTTGGCAAACCTGTAACATACAAATATTTCACAATGTACTCGTTACACTGGGCTTTTCATTTTACACACACACACACACACACACACACACACACACACACACACACACACACACACACACACACACACACACACACACACACACACACACACACACACACACACACACACACACACACACACACACACACACACACACACACACACACACACACACACACACACACACACACACACACACACACACACACACACACACACACCTTCCAATACTATCTTGCATGGTGAATGCGGGTACCGTCTCGAGTAATTTGCAGAAACTGGAGAAGTCACATGGTCAGGAGTTTTAACATCTTCAACAGCATTCATATGTACTGAACAACCAGGACTATTATATGTACTATGTGCTTGTGACTGCTTCTGTAATTCCTCCAACTTTTTCTGCAGCTCTTCTATCAGTTTATCTTTATCTACTTGTTTAGGTTTGCAGTTGACTAATTCTTCATGAATATCAACGCTAAAATTTTCTTCCAGAGCATTTATTCTGTCATTCATAGACAATTTTGCCTCTGATATTGATGGTGGAAGACCCTGATTTTGAAAAATAAAATGTAAATCGTAACTGCTATATATATACGTGTGTGTGTGTGTGTGTGTGTGTGTGTGTGTGTGTGTGTGTGTGTGTGTGCGCGCGCGCGTGTGTGTGTGTGTGTGCGTGTGTGTGTGTGTGTGTGTGTGTGTGTGTGTGTGTGTGTAATATATATAAACAAAAATTTTACAGTGATTAGATAGTCATGCAATAAGTGCAAGGGTCTGGAATTTTCATTAAATGAAAAATGAAAATAATTATTACACTGAGATACCTATTAACAACCATTTCAGAGTTCATCAAACAAAGTTTGTCTTACCCAAGGATTCTATTATTATGAAAGTTTCAAATGTTCTTCGAAGAAAGAATTTTGACTTTCAAATTTTCTTCGAAGAAAGAATTTTGACTTTCAAATTTTCTTTGAAGAAAAATTATCAAATATTATTATTAAAATTAAATTATTATAAATTGATGATGAATTATTAATAAGTCAATATAGATACGAACTACATTAAATTAAATAGATTATATTGCATATAAACCTTGTTTGACGATTTCACTACAAATGTCTTCTTTCTCCCTTTTCTTTTAGACACAGGTGAATTTGTATTTGATTTGGTGGTACGTTCCTTATTTGCTAATTCATGGACTACAACACTGAGCCTTTTATTTGGTTTAGGCTATCTCGTCTTTCTTGCTTGTAAAGTTTCTTTGTCATCATTTATATCTAAAATTACTGCAGGTTCATATACTTTATGGCCATCAGCATCTTGTCCATTTGCAACGTATGCATCATAGGGAAAGTTTTTATCACTTGGATCATAACATCGTATATTTTGAACTGGAACAAATTTTACTTTTGCATTGTCTACATAGAATCTCACAGCAGCATAGCCTACTACATCCCCTAAGTCTGACATGCCACTGTCGTCATCACTCATTGTGGCTTTAGAAAATCTGAAAATAATATTTTTTATGTGACAGTATACCTATATATCTTTCTATATTACTTAAGCTCAGGAAAAGTAGATGTATTTGAAAATCTCAATTGAATATAATATTTGAATATTACTTCTATTCCCCCCTAACTATTTGTTGGAGATGATATCCAATATAGTCAGACTACTAAAATCCAGTTAAAAAGTACCATGTAACATATTTCATGTGTAAAGAATCAATTAAAAAAATTGGAACTTAATTTTGTGCAATATTATTTCAACTTTAAACTTTACCCAACATATATGAAGGAATCAAGCTATGTTCTACTTATATTACTTGTACTTAGAATTTTTCATGCAAACCAAGGAAAAATTTCTCTATTTAGTTTGATAATTTAGTATAAAAATTTGTATGCTTCAATTTTGAACAATAAAAATAATTAGTTGGAAAATTGCAGCTAAGATTTCACAGGTTGAATCTTACAATATTTAAAAAATAAATGCATGCAGTTTATGATAATGATAAGAAATAATTATATATAATACATACCTTGATAATGGTTTCTTAAGTAAAATAACTGCAGCTCATAAAGAGCACTTGTCAATAAATAATTTACTACAATAGAATTTTAATTTTTAATTCAAAGAAACATCCAGACCGAGCACGAAACAAAGAAAAAAATCAACAAGCATATATATCATAGTTCACACTATGTGTGACAAAGAAATTATATTCGATGGCGCGATACACCCTATTATCGTTGGTATCTAAGATTCACTTTTTGAAATAAATTGAAAATTGAATTATGATTTCGATTGTTCTTTGAACAAGATATAAATGTTATCTTACTATTTGTTAGTTTTTTTTACGACAGCTCCTTTAAAAGTGTCGAATTAATAACACTCGTGAAACACTTGTAAACTGCAGCCAGTCATTAACAATTCAATGCGGAACAAAATACATATTAGGCCTTGACATGTATGCTATCCTGGAAGTGACCTGCGCAGGATGGCTGCGCAGAAGTCGGTTGCCAGTTTATATGTATTTTATGATATACGATACGGTGGTTATATGGTTATGTTTTATGTTATAGTTTCATGATCATGACCAGGTGACAAAGGTAAGATGAAAATATTGATTTATAAATATATAGAAATACTATTTAAGTTTCTAACAAATTTACTGAAATATTATAGTTTTGTCTGTGAAACAATGGCTAACAATCGTAGATACAACCTAGGCAGAATTAATGTTGATATTAAAACGCCGAGAACTACACAATATAACAGGAAGAGAACAGTAGAGAGGAACGATTCTTCTTCAGATTCCAGTGTTGACAATCAAAGATGGCGAGAGAATTATGCTGTGAGTATTCAATTAACTTTTCAATTAATGAATGCATATAAGCCTAGATAGCATGTACGTAATTCCAAGCATGTATTAATTTATGAACTTAACAACATGTCTCATAAATATATTTGTTATGGTTTTATTTCAGCAAGTTTCAAACATTTTGCATGAAATTAATAATATTTCAAGCAATGATGAATCTACAACATCTCAATCATCTCCAGTATCATCAGAAAATGAATCAGTAAGTAGACTGATACTTAAATTCAGTGTATTATTCACTGCTATTATTATATCATAATTTATACTTAATAAAATTAATTAATATATATTTTATAGGAATGTAGTTTGTCATCTGCCAATCAAGTAATTGATGCTTTTTCTGGATCAACAGATGACGATGGTGTGAGTATAAATTTATTACATAAATGATCCACTCATTATTGAAAAAAATTTGGAAACTAAGAAAACAAATCCTATACCTTAATGTAAATGTAACCAAATGACCCTCAATATCGTTTTCTTAAATTCATATTTTTCATGAGTGGCATTAAGTGCAGTGAATTGTGTATGGTCAGTATACTTGTATATGTAAAGATTTAAAAATATCTTGCTAGTGTTCAAGCATTCATATTAAAAGTATATCTTCATTAGAGTATTGCTGTGATAGTATACATAGAACATTTGAAGAGTATAACACCAATTCACATTATACATTTATTTAGATGATTAAATTTTAGTATATAATTTTATACAATTAATCAAAAATTTTTCTATATTTATTAAATAATAAGCTTTCCATTTAAGTTACTTCTAGGCTTACTGTTGGTACATAATTATAATAGTAGATCACTTGAAAAGACCATAATGGATTAAAATCTGAAAAACTTATTGAAATTTGAATAAAATTTAATACATAACCATTATATGGCTGAAAGTTTCAAATATTAGTGTTTCAACTGAAATAGCTACAATATGTACGTTTGATCTGCTCCAAATACCTTTTATCATAAATTTACAAAAAAAAAATACTGCAAGTATAATTTTTTTAATTGTGATATACAATTTTTTAGCTTTACAAGTGGCATATTTATTTTTACAGAATAAAAATTCAATATAACAAATTTTGTTTCCACTTATCTAGTTTGTATTTGTACACTACATTACAGATATCTAGTATCAATAACAGAAAACTTTTGTCTAAAAATTATTTTGCTTAATGATAATGTAATCAACCGATTTCATTAATTAATTAATTAATGAAATTAATGAATTCATTAATTAATTAATTTCTTCATAACTCATTACTTGAAAATAATATTGAACATATATTAACTACCTAGTAAAATACTACTGCTGAGATTGTATACACAAAATTAACAATTGTAGTTGAAATTCGTAACATATATATTCGATGAAATAGATAACTAATTATAACTCATTTTAATTTAACAATTTAACATTTCATTTTAACCAATCTATGTTTTACCTAGATAAATTACCATTCTCAAATAGAAATTCTATCATATAAAAATTTTATGTAAAGAAGATTTTTGTCTATAGAAAAGAAAGTATTTCATTTTCAAAGTCAAATCATTAATTTTGAAAATGAATTTGTTAGATCGCGATTACTTTGTAATATTTGAAAAATATATATTTAAACTTATAATTTTGAATATTTAAGTTTACGTACTGTGAAGTTAAAAAAAATCTAGTATATAAATAAGTGCTTTTAAAACGGAATCTTGCAATCATAATAATTGTAGTAAGACTGATTGCTCATCAAATGGCTTTTTTTTAATAACGATATATTTTTTACCTTATGATCAAATTCTATGTTACAATTGAGAAATTATATTTCTGTGGCTTTTTTTAAACTATAATATTTATCGGAAAAATCTGAATTTTTTCCTATCGATAGATTAAATGGTGTTTTGCAACTGATACTTTTACGAAATCTGGTTAAAACGGCAGTGATACACCATAAAATATATAAATTTTATTACACGTTTTGTTTATTGATTTATAAATTAAGTATGGTAATTACAATTACTACAATAATTTTTAATAATTCGCAGTTAATACTAAAATATTATATACAGTTTTCCATATAAAAATGATTCAAATTTACAATAATATTACTGTTACGACATTAAGTAATAAGAAAGCGATAAATATTCGTGAAAATTTTTTAAGAATAAAAATTATCAAGTATACTCTTTAATTTTTCCATATTTAAGAAAACAAATCATTTTTTAAAATTACTATTTTCATTATTAACATCCGTTGAAACTTGGAGATTATTTTACTAAATTTTTTTTTTCGACACTGTGAAAATCCATATGTTATTTAACTCCGTATTTGCGATTTTATTTTAGGCGTGGAAGGAGGGGGTTATAACGTCATTCACCATAAATAACGTAATTGCTTTTCAGTAATAACGTTATTTAAGACAAAAAAGACGTTATTAATTTAATAAAAGAATCCCTTGTATTCAATTTAACACCGTATTTAGAATTTTATTTTAAGCGAGAAGGGGAGCGGTAAGAAGATGAATATAAATAAGCTAAAGTTAATTTTACCTTTTGATTTTTGCTCAAAATTCGATAGACACCTTCAATATTAAATAAATTCTATTTATCATCTATTTTTAATCATATCATCAACGTTGATTGTTTATAGTACAATAATGTATACGTAGATTTTTTATATTTTGCTTATATAATTCTTATTGTTTTTAAGGATCATGCAAGAAATGAACGTGAGCAATTGCTACACGAGCAAGACGACGATTATGCAAGTGATGATGATAACATCCAATATCAACATATATATGACTACCCATTTGTAGATGACAATGGAACACAAAATCGATTAGATGAGATACTGAACGATATCGTCAATGATGAAATTATTGATAGTAGAATCAACGTAAATAAAGCGGAAATATATTTAGGAGTTTTGAAATTTTCACTAGTTTACAACTTGCCCCAAGTTGCAATCGCAGATTTATTTAAGATGCTAAACATATTTTGTGCTACCTCCGTTTTACCTGATTCGAAATACTTAGTTAATGCAATTTTCAACTGCGAAAAAAATATTACTTATCACGCATTATGCCCTACCTGTAAGCGTTATGTTAAAGAGTTTCGGCGTGGAGAGGAACAGAATCATAACATACATTGCGTTTCTTGTAATTGCCGGTTTTCCTTGACTGATCCAACTTACCGAGATTTTTTCTGCATAATGAACCCAGACGAAGAAATAGCTTATTATCTTGAAGAGAATTGGACTTATTATGAATCAATAGTTGAGGCCCGTGTTAAAAATTCTGATAACATAAATGAATTCCACAGTGGTTTGTTGTATAAAAAGTTGAGAAATTCTTTACCTGATGATCGAAAAAATAAATTTATAACCGCGACTTTTAACAGCGATGGTTCACCAGTATTTGAAAGCTCTTCTTTCTCTATATGGCCAATACAAATCATAATCAATGAATTACCCTTTAAAGTCAGAACTTCAAAGCCAATAGTATGCGGACTATGGTTTGGTAGAAATAAGCCTGATATGAATATGTATTTTGAGCCATTTGTTAATCAAATGAATGCATTTTCGGATGAAGGAATTATCTGCAATATAAGAGATACAAAACATACTATTTATGTATATGCTATTTGCTCTTGTGATGATTCCGTTGCTCGCGCCCCTATGCAAGGCGTTACTCAATTCAATGGTTATTTTGGATGTAATTGGTGCTTACATCCGGGATATTACATTGCGGTAGGTAGGGGTGGAAGCGTTAAGTATATACTTTTGGATGAACCGATTAATGAGAGGAATGAAGCAGATACTTTGCGAGATGCGCGACAAGCTGTAGCTTCTGGTCAGTCCATTAACGGTGTCATTAATGAAACAGTTCTCAGTCGTCTCAACTACTTTAATATTGTATCCGGATTCGTTCCAGATCCAATGCATTACCTCGATTTAGGTATCGGGAAACAGTTTATGAAATACTGGTTTGACACTAAAAATATGCCTTATTCATTGACTAATATAGAAATCGATCAAGTGGATAACGTTTTAAAAGCCATAACTGTCCCTAGTAAACTCATGCGGAACTGTCGTTCTATACGAGATAGAAAGTATTGGAAAGCAAAAGAATACCAAAATTGGATATTATACTATAGTACAATTGTTCTTATTAAATTTCCTCGCATGAGATGCTACGCTATTCATTGGTCCTATCTAGTTAGGGCATACTATATTCTATTGCAAAATAATATAAGTCGGAACCAAATTCAAGAAGCATATCGTTTATTGACGACATTCGTTGTTCTAACAGAATTGTATTATTCAAGAAGTGCGATGACCTTCAATATACATTAGCTACTCCATACGGCACTCAGCGTCCTGAATTGGGGTCCTTTGTATTGTCACTCTGGCTACGGATTTGAAAATGGAAACGGATATATTGTGAAATTGGTACATGCTGCGAAAGGTGTTCAATATCAAATCTGTCGAATAATGGGTATGAACAGAAGCGATCGCATTTTGACAAAATTTATGTTACAAAACAATCCGAATTCAGAAATCTTGAGTTATGTTAAGTATTTAGAAACAAGAGAGTGTGCAAAAGTATTGACTACTCACATCGGAAGATATTTTGGAAAATTGACTTATTTAACACCTGAGTGGAGAAGAAGATTGAATTTATCTAACACGGCTAGAGTTTACCGAAAACTAGTTAAGATGGATTGCGTGTATTTATCTTGCGAGACTATAAGACTTAGATCAAATAATTCTTTTGCGATGACAGGTGACAATAATTTTGTACAAATTGTTTTTTTTATTATTGATACGTTGCAAAGGAAAGAGTACACTGTGTGTAAAGCAGTCGACGTTTTAGATATTTCTGATAATAATGATTTTGACGAATTTCAGATAAAAAGGATAATTACTATTAGTCAAGAATTAGAAGTTATAAGTACTGATTCATTACATAAAATTTGCGTTTATATGAATTACAACGATGAAAGATTCCTATGTTCTGTACCAAATGAATACTCTTATTAAACATCGAATAAGAAATTATAAATAACATGGGACGAAATTCTTTTTGGTAGTATTTCAATGAAATTTTGTAAAAAATGTTGTAATGCTCTTCTTAACTTTGTAAGTAAAAATTTATGAATACTCTACTTGTTTCTAATTTACATAAATCTAATTTATATGTAAATAAATCTTGTGATTATTTTATAATAATTATGTATTTATCATGATTTTAAATATTTTATGATATGGATTGGCGAACAAATAAAGAAAAGGATTAATGTAAATGTCAAGTATGATTATCATGTCATAACATAGCCTATGTGAATAACATTTTTCTACCACCGGAAAATGACTCCCTCAAAAATAACGTCATTTACTATAAAATAACGTTATTTGATTCCTAGAGCCTACATATCTTTGGACAATTACGTTATTCTCTGCAAATGACGTTATTACCTTGTTACAAATTTATTCTACTGAAGATAACGTTATTTGCTATTAATAACGTTATTGGCCCGCGAAATAACGTTATTCCATTCGTAAAGCACAAAATTTTTTTTGGAAAAAACGTCATTTTCTGTAAATTACGTTATTGGTCCGCGAAATAACGTTATTGCATTCGTAGAGCACAAAATTTTTTTTTGGAAAAAACGTCATTTTCTGTAAATTACGTTATTGGTCCGCGAAAGAACGTTATTCCGTTCGTAAAGCACAAAATCTTTTTTTGAAAATAACGTCGTTTTCATTAAATAACGTTATTAATTCCAAAAATGACGTCATTTTTAAATAAAAAATGACGATATTAGATAAAAAATAACATTATTAAATGTTCCAAATCGTAACACCAAATAACGTTATAAATAACGTTATAAGTGACGTCATTTAATAACGTTATTTATAACGTTATTTTTTTCTATAGGGCTAGTAATTTATTGTAATTTTTTTTAGGCTTCTGATGTTTAGACAAAGAATGATATTATTTTCTTTACATATACAGGGTGAGTCATTTTAATTTCCCCAGTCTAATAACTTTTGAAGCAAGCAAATTACGCAAAAATGTTTCAGACCAAAGTTGTAGGGGTTCAAGGGGGACATCTAGGGGTGACTTTGAAATTGACCTTGAGCTCGACCTTGACGGCTTTCTCAAGGTCAAGTCTATTTTTTTATTGGGAACCCCTATTTCTGACCTCGGAATCGGAAAGAGCGGGAAATTTGACATCCAGATAACATCTTTTAACATGGGTCAAAATAAACCCTTAAGGTCATGGTAAGGTCAAAACTATCCTGGAACAAGAATCGAACAATGTAAGCAAAATACGAAAAAATGACTCAGAAAAAAGTTGTAGGAGTTCAAGGGGGACGTCTAGGGGTGACTTTGAAATTGACCTTGAGCTTGACCTTGACGGCTTTCTCAAGGTCAAGTCTATTTTTTTATTGGGAACCCTTATTTCTGACCTCGGAATCGGAAAGAGCAGGAAATTTTACAGGATTTAAATTTTTTAAATTTAATTTTTTTAAATTTTACGGGACTATTCTTGTTTCCGTTCCCTATCCTTTTTTATTTTTCACCGGACTGTATGATTATTATTAATAAATTTCAAATATTGGAAGTTGTTGCTAATAATTTGCTATTACAAGTCTATTAAATTAATGAAACTATTTCAGTATCAATCTGATGTTCTGCAAAGAAATAAGAGTAAAAGTTAAATACATAAGGATAAATTTCATGTTCAATGAAGAATCTATTACATTTGGAAGTCGTTTAGAAAGTAATCGCAATACGTTCAGTCGTGATTTCAATTTTGAAAAAGCTTTAAATATTACTTTTGTTTTAACCATGCTTGTGTTCATTGTATCACTATCATTATTTCTTCATATTTGAATAAGAGACCTTTCTTATTGGCCTGCGCGATCACCGGACTTAACTTCCCCAGATTTCTTCCTTTGGGGATACTTAAAAAATACTGTGTTCGCTGAAGCGCCCACAACAAGGGAGAATATGATAGAAAGGATTAGAGTTGCATGTAGACAAATCTCTAGAGATATCTTACTGCGCACTATTGAAAGCTTCGAACAGAGGCTCAGGCAATGCATCGACGTAAATGGTAATAATTTCGAGCAAAACCGATAGGAAATAAGTTTATTCTAGTTTCATCACGAATCGTGAGAGGCAAGGGGACTCACATTAATAAAGCACCCCAAATCGTGAGAGGCAAGGGGATTCACGTTAATAAAGCACCCCGAATCGTGAGAGGCAAGGGGACTCACGTTAATAAAGCACCCCAGAGGGAACATAATCCTATTACGTCCACGTCGTTGTTCCTGGGTAGTGCTAAAGATAGGAAGTTTATGATCTTAAACATCAGCATCGTTAGTACATGGCCAGTCCCTTACTCTTTGGAAGTTTATTTAACAACGGTCATATGCGATAAAAGCTTCGCCTCGAAATGTAACAAAAATAAGAGAATTTTCAAGAATTTGACCTTTGCTTCACATTGAGAATAGAAGTACGACAAAGGTCTTCGATGCTCGTTAAACCTTTTGATGTTTGAAAGCGGCTTCAATTTCTTAAGTAATAACTGAAATATTGTTTATGTTCTTATGAAAAAAAACTAAATAGATACTTGAACGTAAAATTTCCCGCTCTTTCTGATCCTGAGATCAGAAATAGGGATTTCCATTAAAAAAATAGAAATGACCTTGAGAAAACCGTCAAGGTCAAGCTCAAGGTCAATTTCAAAGTCATCCCTAGATGTCCCCCTTGAACCCCTACAACTTTGGTCTGAAACATTTTTGCGTAATTTGCTTGTTTCAAAAGTTATTAGACTGGGGAAATTAAAATGACTCACCCTGTATATTTGTTTAGATCATCAATATTATCTGTTTTATGTTCATTTTCAAATATAATATCATATAAGCTGTTATCCATATTGTAATATTGCAGAAAACTATTTAGTATTCCTGGTTTTATTACCTGTTGGACTTGGTGTAGATAATGATGATAACGATAAACTGTTATTTATTCTCGGACGGTTATATATCTTGCGGGTGTTTGTTTCAAAGTTTATTCTACCAAAATATCTTTGATGAGTTGGTTGAGTTAGATAATCTGTCATTTCAATATACCTTTTTATTTTCATTTTTAAAACTTCACACATTTCGCTGTCGATGGCACTATGGTTTACGTTGTAGTTTTTACTATATGTTTCATTGTGGAAAATGCAGTTTGGACATTGGAGTATGCTGCTACTACACATTTTTGCTTGGTGCTTGCCAGCACATTTATAACACGTTGGCTCTTTTTTTGCTTTTTCACACTTTCCGCCGCCGTGGCCAAAACCTGAGCAGTTGTAACACGGATATGTGTTGATGACGTCAAAGACTCTGCAGTTTTGACATCCAATAAATAATTTGTTACTATTGTTTTTTATATGTTTATATACAATAGATGGAACTTCTATTATTGCAGTTACTGTTTTATTTTTTTCATTTGTAAATACATGATTTACTTTGCATTTTTCTTCGTATTGACTAAAATTTCTTGCATTAATATCAGTTTCTATATCTTTTACATTTGTTGTGAAAGCTTTAGAAATTCCTACTACTTTAACTATCGGTTTACGTATTTCTTCTTTTAGAACAGTAAGTGCCGGTAGTTTTTTTTGTAAAGTTTTTTCTTACACTGTGACATTTTCTTCGGTCATGCAGTTGATAATTATTGTGTCAGTATTTTTAACTTGTACACTTTTTGTTTGTATGTTTTTGTCTTTAATTAAGTAATGTGCTACTTGATTTTCTAAGTTTATGATATCATTACTCTTTTTCTTTATTATTAATCTTGGTATTCTTTTGGGTTTAGGTGTTGGTAGTGCAATTGTTTCAGCATATGTTTTTCTCATAATGTTAGTATTTGCATTTTTATTTTGTTTTTCTTTAATTAGTAGTTCATTGAGCAATTCATGTTTTTCTTTTGTTTCTTTGTACAGTTCTTTCAATAGGTTATTTTCGGCTTTTAATTGTTGTAATTCATCCAAATCATTGATCTGCGTTACATCCATATGATCATCTTTTTCATTTAAAATTTGCTTTTCATGCACAAGCTCATTTAATATTTCCAGTTTTATTTGTTCTCTACTTACAAGTTTGAATTATGTTATGAAAGCACTAGCTTGTTCACTTAAGTCCCCATATGGCAAGTTTGATGGTAGTGCAAAATTTGAATGCTCTTGGCATATTATGAATGAGCTGTTTATTAGTTTGATTGCATTTCCCGCATGGATTTTTGCTACTATTTCACTCGTATGATAGAAATTTCCACATACTAAACACACAACTGCTCCTACTTTTGTATTTGGATGACACTTGAAATGCTTATGTAGCGATGATGCGTCAGGCGGTTGCACTTCCGCACCGCTTGACGGCGACATCGCGACTGAAATGCGATTAAAAAATAATAATTAAAAAATATAGTTACTTCTGGGAACAAATTTTGAATAAACAGGTTATGTAGATAACCTGTTGAATAATTGATAAAATGAAATAGTTTCATTTTTTATGTCCAGTGATACATAATTGAATATATATATATATATATTTAATGCACATTAAAAATAAAAAATTCTTATCTTCAATAAGTTAAAAAACTAATTTTTTTTATATAATATCGACTAACATCAGGACTCAAAATGTCATTGCAAGAGAATTCTGACCAAGTAATAACATATACAAGTGATGAGGAAGTTGGTTACTTGATGGAATCACCTGAAAAGGATTTTAATGTGTAAGTCACTTCCTTTTATTTAATTTTGTCATAAATCCATCATTCTAAAATTCTCATTGACTGTGTGCGCTGTATTATTGTTTGTTATAAATCTAAAATTCTCATTGACTGTGTACGCTGTATTGTTCCATTGATTTTTTTTATATTTTCAGAGAATTTATTGGCTATATCAAAACTGTTTATGGGCGTTGTACTGTTCTAGTAAGAGGAATAGAAACTGAATTATTCAAGTGCCTGATCACTAATGGGACGTACAATATAATGTTATTAATTTGGGACCCAATACAAATCAATAAGTTAGCGAGAGAGATAATTGCTGATCGGGAATATATAATATATATATTTATTTTTTAATGTAGTAATTGTAAATTATAATTATTAATTCAAAAATGTACTTTTTTTAGATACTTCATATCGATGGAGCTGAGGGGCAAGTTGTTACTAAAAGGCAAGCAAAGAATGTTCTAAAT